TGCCCTATTTTTTTTTTTTTTGCAGGGATGGGATTAGAGGCAATTGGGGGATGAGGTGGGGGCTGTGCAGTTGCAGCCATTAAAAGCCCCCTGATTAATGGCTTGGGGGGGGCATGCCTCCCCTCCTCGGTCCCAAAGGGGTCTCCTCTTCCGACCCCAGCACCACACCTCAACTCTCTTGTGCATTTTAGGAGTTGGCACTTTGGGTGTGAAGGCTGAGTCCCGCGATCCTTCCCCCACCCCACCGCCGTGGGCATCTCCCATTGGCATCCTGTTAAAGTCGTCTGAGGGACCCCCCCCCCTCTCATGACCAACGCAGAACTAGCCCTCTGGGCCCAATCCACCAAGGCGGGTAAGTCTGGGGCGCCGAGGGAGAGAACGCGTAAGAGAGACGCCCAGCCACGGAAATCTACACAACGGGACCCCAAAAAAAACCCCACCCCAGTTGGAGGAGCGCATCGTTTTTTTCTCCATTTGGTTGATTTGCGGTTTGCTAAATTTCGCAAGCCCCAAACACAGGACCCACCCAGGGACGGGATCAATAAACGGAGTGTGTGGAAACGTAAACATAGCAAATGGATCTCCCCTTTTTCAAACGGGTGGGGGTGGGGGTGAAACCCTGTTCTGTTCGTTTTGCAACCTGCCACGAAAACGAAGGGATGACCCCTCTTCTTCGGAGGGGGAAAAATTAAAATGTCCGAAAACATCTAAAAAAGGGAAATTGTGAAAACTTTCTGCCACCACTAGCTTTTCAGCAGGCTATGCCTTAGAACGATAATAACAGTGGTAGTAGTAATCAAAACCATAATAATACTAGGAGTAGTAATAATACTTGGTTGATACCTAGGATGCTGGCAGCATCCTGTATCAAGCATCGGCACCAGTCAATGATATTTGTGATGCATTTTTAAATGTTCAGTTGACCGAGTTTAATGAATGTAAGAGATAAATTGTAAATATAAATGTTTAATGAATAAAAGAGATAAAATAATATGAGGAGGAGGAGGAGGAGGAGGAAGGGGAAAAAGAAGATGGTGATATTTGGTTGATAACTAGGATCCTGTATCAACCATCAGAGCCAGTTAATGATATTTGTGATACATTTTTAAATGTACAGTTGACTGAATTTCATGTTTAATGAATAAAAGAGATGATAATAACAATAACAATATCATCCCAGGTCATTGGGAAGGACTCGACAGGACCTATTACTACTGTTATTATAATTGTTTAGGGATCGCATGCTGAAAAGCTAGTTGAATAGACGGACAAAATCCAGTCAAAACATCTGGTTGAAACCATGAAACCATGTTATCATCTCACTTTGTACCAAGGTGCGGAAATGCTGTTATGTCCAAGATGTTCACCCTTTAAGTAAACCAAAGTGTGCACTTAACACTACCTAGTTTAATTGATGTGGGTGTGTAAATCTGCTTTCTCATTAGTCCCTCCACTAGCCTGGAGTCACTTTGGTGTCAGTCCTGGGTGTGACATGAATTCAACCAAGCGTGGTTTATTTCAGAAACGTGGTTAAGCCTCTGGTGGTTTTATTGCTTTCCCTGAGCATCTCCAAAAGTGTGCGGTCATCTCCCGCCCCGTTTTTAACCTAAACATAAAGGTTTATTAAAGGTTTTCCTTGGTTTTTTTTTTCCCCCAGCGTTTACAACTGTTTGCCGTTTTTTACTAACTGCTGGTTTGCTTTCGGTGGAGAAAGTTGGACATCTTAAAAACACCAAATGAAAAGACTTCCTCCAATCTCCGGACTCAATTTTCCCCCTCGCCCCTAAATATTTGAAAGAACCTTCTTGCCACTCAGCAGCATTTTAGAAATCTTCCCCCTCCTTGCTTTTCCTACTTTAGGCGCGCGGGAGAAAACTTAGCAAAAGCGCATCGTTTTTCTTTGTCGGCCGTCGAGCCTCAAACCCCGCTCCGGTTTAAAACAAGATTTCCCTAACCTCAAAAACAAGACTTTCGTAACGGCCTCGCTTTAATTGAAAAAAATAAAATTAAATTGGAAACGGGACGGCCACACCATCAGCGCAACAATGAACATAAATGTTAAAAAGCCGCCGCGGAGCGTTTTCAAAAAGAGAGCTAGGGACGCGTTGCTTCTTTCGGAGTTAAATTTATTTGCTTTTTTTTGTTTTTTGTTTGTTTTCCACCCGGGAGAAATGTCAATTTCCCACCCTTTTGAGACCTAGAAAGTCCGATTAATCAAGGCGGCTTCTGCGCCAACGGGGCTTTAGTTGCAAATTCGTCGCCCGTTTTTTCTCCTCCCAGCTGGTCCAGATCCAACCAAGCTATTCTAACTGGCTGCAGACCCTCATCCTCATCCTTAATCAAATAAATAAATGGACGGTTCATGTAGGTGCGTGTTTGTCTCTCTCTCTCTGCCCCTCGGACGTGGTTCCCTGCAAGCAAAACTCGTCTCCAGACCTTGTTTAATCAAGAATCACGCGCCACTAATCGGAGTCACTCGGAGTGATACCTCATTAGCCACGGCTAAGCCTCGAGTGGACCATCCGCCGCCGCTCCCGACGCGCGGTCATTATTCTCCATCACGATGTACAAATATTTTGGTAATCCTTTGATCCTCCTTTTCTGTTTCCCCGGACTGTTTCCTTTCCATTCGCCACAGAGAAGAACCACTTCACGCCAATCCCGGCCGCGTGTGTGTGTGTTTTCGCGGCCGGCGTTGGCTTCCCCTCCTTCCTACCGCTTTTTTCCCCGGCTCCCACTTGAGCACGCTTGAGGGGCACCCAATTTGCTTTAATAAATGCGGGAAGGGAGCCCCCGAGTTTGCTTTAATTCCGCAGCGCGGCGGCGGCGGAGCGGCCAAGCAACGGTCGGAGGGGCGGGAGAGGAGGGGGAAGAAGAAGCAGCGAGGAGGTCAAGGGGAAAAAAAAAAAAAGCTCCTTTTCCGATTAATTAATATCCCTCTTTCCACATCTTTTCGGGCCGGCGCGAGAAGAGGGAAAGCCGGGCGAGAAAATGAACATATATGTAATTTTTGTTTTTTGGAAAGCCCACGCGCGCCGCTTTTCCGCCCCCCCTCCCGTTCTTCAGCCATCCGAACAGCGATGCAAACTAATAATGCAAATAAAACACTAGGGTGAAATTCGGTGAAGAGCAGATGAGCAGCCACCAAACTCTTCGTCCCCCTCCCCACAAACAGCCAACATTTTTTTGCGCGTCCCCTCCGGAATCTACAAAGCGACTCCTCCGCTTGCATGGATGGGAAGGAAGAGGTGCTTTGGGGAAAGTGTCCAAAAATCCAAGGCTGCCTCCCTTCTCCAACCCTCCCCCGCTTGGAAAGACCCCGTTCCCTCCCCCCCCCCCCCCCCACACACACACAACCCGGCCAGGCTGCCAGAAAAAAGGAAGCCCCCACCGGCTCTCTCCGCAAGCAGCGTCCCCGGCTTTTCCGCGGCTTCTTCGGAGCCCGCTGGGAATTGCGAAGGACGCGCTAACTTTTTCCCTTTCCTTTCCAGTCCAAGTTTGCTTCCCCCAGGAAGGGGGTGGAAGAGGAAGCGGCGCCCCTCCCTCACCGAAGGGGAAAGAGAGAGAGAGAGAGGGCGAAAGCGGCCTTTTAGTAGCGGGGGCTGGTGGAAAAAAAAAAAAAAAAGGCCGGTTGGCGGAGCCACAAACTTGGGAAGAAGGGAGCGTCTCTTTGCGCACGGAGTTTCCCGGGCGGGCGTTGAGGTTTCTTCCCCAGCCCCCCAAAAAAGCGTTTCCACGTACCTTCCAAAGGGAATCCGGTGCGGGGATAATTCTGCCCGGGCGCCGGGCGCATCATCCTGGGTACGGTCCCGGGCAGGGCGGCCATGCTCCAATCCAGGCTGCCGGGCGCGGCGGAGAGGCTGCGGAGAGAGGGAGGCAGCGCCGGAGTCTCGGCCCCACTGGAGAAGAGGCGAGGCGAGGCGAGGCGAGGCGGGCGGCGGGGGGCGCGCAGCGCGAAGCCTCCCCGAGCCTCTTCCCTCCTCCGGGGGCAGCGCCAGCACGGGCGGCAGGCTTGCCTTAAAGGGGTGTGTGTCTGTGTGTGTGTGTGTGTGTGTGCTGGGAGGTTGGAAGCGCCCCCCAATTCAGCAGCTGGGGCACCCGGGCAGAGAGAGAGAGAGAGAGAGAGAGAGGGGGGGGGGGGCGAGCGCACAGACAGCCACCGCCGCGGGTCTCTCTCTCTCTCTCTCTTTCTCTTTCTCTCTCTCTCTCTTTCTCTCTCTCCCTCTCTCTTTCTCTCTCCCGAAAGGGCTCCCTGGCTCGGCTCCCTTTGATTTTGTGCTACTTTGGGGGCGGGAGGCGGGAAGGGTGAGGTGGGGGCTGACAAAAAGAAAAAAAGGAAAAAAAAAAGCGCGTGGTCGGAAAGAGAGGGGGAAAAAAAAAAAAAGAGAGAGAGAAGAAACCGGGAACTTTCGGCCAAGGCTGGGCTTGAAGGCGTCTTGCCTTCCTCTCTCTCCTTTCTGCGCCCCCCCCTCCAGCCTCTTTTTATTCATGACCTGGAGGTGGCAGCGAGGAAGCCAATGGGGGGGCCCCCCCCCCCCCCGCGCACGCCTTCCTCGGCAAGGGTTGGCCCCAGATCGCGAGCTCGCCTAGGCGACCTCAGCGGGGTCTCTCCCCCCCCCCCCCC